GTCTAGTTGTCTCTGGGATTGAGACGCGAGGATGTAGCATGACGGTTCGTAAAGTGGAGATGATTTATATCCGTCAGCTCTTCCGTTTATACGAGTGAGCTGCAAGCTTCGGTGTTCTAGTTTTGATCTAGAATGTAGGTAGATGAGGTAGATAAATGACTGAAAACATATACCTGTACTTATATAGGTGGGCAGATGACTGAGTGAGAAAGTAAATAGATTGACAACCGAATGGATGAAAGGGGAATGGAATACATGGATACGTGAATGGGAGGTGTTCTTCCTCTGTGATTTTCACGTAATAATCTGTAACCCATTGCCTAAGTACTCTTGGCCGTTTGGTGACACAGTGTAAAGAATATTCTCCATATTGACAACTTTAATTTTATTAATTAATATCAATTAATAACACTCTGACTGAAAATGTTAAACAGATCAATATGTGATTTGTGAATGGGGCAAAGAAGTGAATACGTGAGTGTGTATGTAGACATCCAACAATGGGTAAGTGTACCAGTAGATACATGGATCAATAAACAGACAAATATGAAGATCACAGGGGAAGAACATGACAATGTTAATTAAATAATAGTTTTAAAATTGAAAACACTATCAGTCAATCCCATATCATCGAAACTGTTTTTTATTTATTTTTTGGATTAATCACATTCTTTAACATTAATGATCACGCTCCTGAACGTTTCAAAAGTATTGATTGCCATGACATTAGTTATGCCTGCGGTTTTTTAAAATGCGTCGTGGATTTTTCAGCGGTGTCTCCCTCTTAATATTTATATTTTCAAATAACCATTCCTCAGGTTACCCTTAAATTGTCAGTTAACTTCTTAATTTGAGCTTTTAATATTGAATTTTTCATGCACTAACAAAATTATTCCCCTGTTTCATTTGGGCTTGTCGCGTTATTTCCCTGCACATATAGTTTTAAAAGGCTTATATCTTTAGACCTCACAGATTGGACCCCTTTCCACCTATGCCATATTGAAGTACCTACTCTCATTTAGTTATCAGATAACATAAAAATTAGAAAATCGACAGAAATGGTCTTATCATGTTTTTTTCCTATGGCCTTCTTGTGTAAACGAACAGATGTATGTACATACAGAGCTATGAGTCGACAGATATACTATTCAAATTCGATACAATTGTTTATGTATGCTGCAAAATACAGAACTGTACAAACTGACGTGAACGAACGAGGCGTGAAAACGAATGTAAAGTTTATGAATTGTTCCTGGAAACGTGACAGAAGTGAAGCTTTATTTCCCCGAACCGCAAAAAAGGTTAAACGGTCAGGTTGGAATGTGTTGTCGAACAAATGTGTTAAGACTTCCCACAATGCGGGAGCTCGTTGGGAGTCTACCACACACGATGCCGCGAAATGTTACGCTTCATTAATCGGCCTGGTAAACTGAGCCGTGTACTTATGAGAGGATAAAGCAAGATCCATGCTCGCGATACAAGCTGGAAAAATCGATTGATCCGTCATCGTTTTATTCGCTCGTGATCTGTTCTTCGGGGATCTATTGCGAGAATAATGGTTACAATAAAGACAAATGTAGAACATAGCACTAAATATTATACAAATCATTGTATCATATCTAACCTTGAATGTTTCACGCACTTGAACGTCAGCTCAGAAATAGCCATAATCTTCAATTTCTTACTCAATTGTACATTTTAAACCGTGTTACGTTTAAAATTATAAATTTGCAATATTAAGAGATATACATACTTTCATGATCAACACTTTCGAAACGTTATTTTTCGTTGGTTGTTGGTACGTTTGCATGTTTTTTTGCTGCGTTCACTAATTGTCACATGTCAAAACTTACATACTAAGGTGTACCAATAAGTAGTCCCACTATTTTTTGTGAATTTCTGTGTTTGTTTCCAAATAATTCAAATCACTTTGCTGTACTAACAGTATTTAATATTTGTTTGCATCATTCTTCGCCATTTTGACTAGGCAAAAGATCGGAAAGGTATAGAAAAAAAACATCAATTGATGTATGTAAAAATATATAGTTCTATTTAAAAGAACAGAGGGGACCTTGAAATCTCTGAAACGCCTCCACTTCCGGGGTAGACACGCGCGCCATGTCATGCATCGCACAATACCACTTAAATTTGCCTAATGAAATTTTCTTCTATCTCCTACCGTTTTAAAGATTACTTATTGGTACACCGAATATATGAGGTCCTAAATATCGAATAGGTAGCACAAGAAATATATACCTGTCAGATCGACTGATATAGTTGACGGTAATGATATACTGAAATCAGTAAACAGCGTGAACATAAACACCGGTTTGGGTACGCTGGTCATCAATGTGTACCATGGCATTAGGCAAGCGATACCTAACTCAGACCTTGGTCAGTTGTGTGCAAGGCATGTCCATTATAAACTAGTTCTCCTGTTGCACCAGTCGTCGGAATTATAGAAATATTGAAAACCGTCCTGACCCTGAGGACCCTATCTGGGTCATCCTCGGAAAAGAAGCTTCTGTTTATAGGACCACTGACGTTACTACCTCACTATATCAGTACCGTCAACTATACACTTATAAACCAATTCAAATTGGGATATTTAAAGTCACTGGAAAAACACACTTACTGGTGCTGTAACATTGTTTATACAGGGTGAGTCAATAAGAACTATTATCTAAAATAACTCATTACCTATTAGTTGTATCAAAAAACGTTTTAATGAATTATACATATAGCATTTTAAGAAACGCATCGCATGGATACAATTTGATTTCATTATGTCTTATTTTTTTTAAACATCAAGTGACCTTGAGTTTCTTCGAGGGCAACGCATCTTCTTTTAATACCATTATGCTACAGGTCGTTGAATTCTTCCTTCTATTGGCAACAACGTGGTATTAAAAAAAAGATGCATTGACCTTGACAAAACTCAAGGTCACCTTGATATCTAAAAAAAGAATAAGATACAAAACATTAAATTGTATCCATCCGATGCATCTTTTAAAATGCTACATAATTAATTACGTTTTCTGATACAATTAACAAGTAACGAGTTATTTTAGATAGTAGTGTTTATTGACCCACCCTGTATGCACCGAAAGTCTTAAAAGGATTAACCTTTAGAAGACAAGCAGGTTTAATGACTTTTTATATTTTCGAGTTAGATTTTCTATCTATTTGTCAACTACGAAAAATGAGTCACCTCTCTGGAGCTTGAAAATAGGCTTCCTGTTCTCTACAGAATAAAATGGATAAGAATGTATAAGTACACGATGAGTCACATTAAATGAAATACCAAAATACCTCTACTAGGTTTGAAATTACAGAGAAGTGTCAAAGGACAAAATGGGACACACTTATTCTTTATTTTCAAAGTTAATCAAAGATGATCGGTATCTCTTTTAATAGCGCCATAAAAGTCAGAGTATTGTAACTGATGTGAAAACGAATTCAATATCAGACGATACTGTGATTTTTCGGCGACCTCAGTTTAGGAATTTAAAATCAAGTGATGCAACTTTAATGTATGTATCAAGTGTATCGATAACTTGGTCCACTATTTTTTAAATTGTCAGGCGACATATTTTCAATTGAAAGTATTTTCTCGGTCTTGAATTGAATATCAATGTATGCAAAAAAATCACTCTGAATATAATTTAAATAGCATAGATCCTTGATTTCTTGTATTACATAGAAACGAATACCGACTTAAGAAATAGTGGTTTACTTATCTGGTGCACTGAATTGTTACATTTTTCAAGCATTCGTTTTTATTTCATTGTTATAACTTACGTTTATTTAATCCACAGCCGTTGTCACGTGAAAATATAATTATCGTTTAATTAATCCAGCAATTTTAAGGTCATTTTGACAATCTTCTTCGTTTTATAGTTCCTTTCATGTAATGAAGTTTTAAACGGCGTGTATTCCTAACATTACTGGACATTCAAACCATCTTCAGTATTGTAAATGCTTCTCTTGACACTGTCTTTTATTCTAGGAATTTAGAACTCACGATATGCAGGAATAATTGCAATGCAAATAGAACAAGACGTGGACAAATATCGTCACAGTAAAATTACTGCAATTCGATACAACCTGTCGTTATTCGTGCCAATTTATAAAATGCTTTACATAGAATCTACTTTAAAATCATGTTACATACTATTCTCTGTATTTAAATGGAAATTGTCCCGTTATATCTATGCATATTACCTTTTTGAAAGCTGTTGAGTCATAAAATAACAAATGAATTATTCGGTGAGCAACTAGTAAAAGAGTACGGTTGATAAACTCATTTACCTGCTTGCATTTAAATTTATCCACTTTCCTTTGGAACCATTCTACAACACTTATACATTTTTAAATGTTCAAAATTAATATTTATAGTTTCTTCAAAATTGTTCAAAAAGATTTTAGGCACCTCTAGCTGGTGCTACTATGCAGGATACAACAAAATAATATTCTTGTTTTGTTTTCAACGTCTCGATGTCCTTAATAAAGTAATACATTTCTGATTAATTCTCATTTTTGTAAAATAGTTTAGGAAAATCTAAATTACTAAAAAATTCGTAGTCCACTGATAAAATATTATAGGAAAGTGGCTACCTAACACATGAATTCGTCTTTAAAACATTTCTGTTCGTGACAGAAATGCATCGTTTTTCTTAGAAATACATCATATTCATGAAAAAATACATCGTTCTCTGCTACAAAAAAAGTAATTCAGAAACTTGTTGTGGGTAACATATTTGTATTTTCCAAAATTACTGATGACATTTACTTCCTTCAGCATTTTTATTATATAAACTTGTTTAACTACTACCACGCATCCGTTATTTAAAGTTTAATACTACAAAAGGATGACATTTAAAATAATGATAGCTACAACTTTGAATAAAAAAGAGGGTGATACATGAAACATTTCATTTCAATGTGAAAATCGGTTGTTTTCACGGATTATTTATGAAACCCGCATATTTTTGTTACAGACTGTTCGATTGGAGACCAGAACGTGCACTAGGTGAACCGCTGAAGCACGAAAGAGTTGTAATTATTAAAAATCTCTTTTCGCCGGAGGATTTCGACAAAGAAGTTGCCTTGTTACTCGAATATCAGCAAGATATCAGATCCGAATGCCTAAAATGCGGTGATGTCCGGAAAGTTGTTATTTACGACGTGAGTACCTCTTATTTGAATCGATGCTCGTATATAGATAGAATATTTAATCTATGTAGAAACTGCAATTAACTATTGTGATTAATTTTTTTTTTTATTTCCTCATTTTATAGAGGAACAACTTTAAAGTTCAAAACATAATATAACTAACTCTGTGTTTTTATTTGGTTATCACGCCTTGAACATTAATTATCACCCTTTTGAACATTTCAAAATATTGATTGTCATAACATTCGTTATGTCCTTAGTTCTGTTTTTACTAAACTTTTTGGGCTTAGTACCATTTTTCTTCTCTTATTAATTAATTTTTCATGTAATCATTACTCCGCGATAATTAAAATTTTAATTAAAATTCTTGGTGAAAATAAAAATTTTCGCGCAACAGTACAGTACTATAACCCTCCGTAATCATTCTGAGAAAGTACAAGCTAACAAGGCAATTAATTTACTAGCTACGCGTTCGTGTAAGATCCATGAAAAATCTTCGGAGATTTAGGAAGTACACCGTTAAGAATTTTAGTAGTTTTATAGAAAACATGAACCACTCGCTTTTGATTGCTTTTATAGCTCTGGTGTTGAAAATACAGTATGTAGTTCAAAAAACATCCATCCTCCAATTTTCATGAAACTTGGTGAAATCTTCCCAAATATTCTCAGATGAACATATGTAAAATGCTTTTTGACGCAATTGAAAATTAGCTGAGATAACACGAAAACAATAAATATAGTTTTATATACTAAACACACGAAGTGCCGTAGCACCTAGAAACACCCACTTACCTTGCAGCTGAAGTGATGGCACACGACGTCTCGTGGTACTGCAATAATTTTTTCTAAAACTGACCTAAATCAATTGTTATATCTGTGACCCACCCACGCGGAGCGATACAAAAGACGCTTTAGCGGAGTGCAGAGGGAGGGGCTTTACCTAAATTGACAATGAATAATTACTCAAATTATTTTAACGTTATCCCAGTTGATTTTGAAATGTGCCAAAAAACCTTTGACATATGTTCAATTCGTAGTATTTGAAACAATTTTACTGAATTCCATCAAAATCGGAGTGTAGACCTTTTCGGAATTAACAGCCAAACTACATCACCTACTATAGAATAGTAATATTATAGAAAAGTAATGTCTTTGAAGAAATTATTAGTGCAAAATATTTTTTATAAATAAGTTAGAGCAAATCAGGCAGGATAATTACCTACTAATTTCGTCCAAATCCAATTCTATGGACGAAAACAAAACCAGAAAATTTCAATTAAACGAGATAAGTAAAACGAGATGGTTGTCTAGTATAGAAGTAAGGAATCGTCTTTTAGGCTCTCGGACTTTATTAATCGTCCTAATGTACAGTCGGCTAAACGTAACGAGCAAAGCGCATTAGAGTCGCTCGTTATCTCCGTTCCACGTGCCCCGTTTTGCATAGATTATTGCATCGTTGACGAGTTTTGACGTACCACCAGAGCTGTATGAATATGAATTCGTCCATGTAGAGCGGAGATATCTACGGAAGAATCTTCTTGCAGTTACGAAGTAGAAAACCTTGTTCCTCTCATTTAATGGATTCATGGTTTCACGAGAATGGGAATAAGCAACAGCTATGAAAATGTACTTTAAAATAGGTCGCGTGAATTTCGTGTATTACTTGAAACTTTATTCACCTTTCCTGTTGCTTATAGTAAATAATATAGTTTATTGATACACCGTATGATAAACCGTTAAAAGACATCGTGTTATTTGTTCAAAATTTCTACCGTTTTGGGGTCATTAAATTCTGTGGTTGTATAATTGATAGAAATATCTAGAAGTCTCGCCCCTTTTGTTATTATGTTATGAAATATTTAAATTATGAAAAATGACAGACATTTCTTATCGTTCATTGGCATATATAAAGAGAATATTAGTATCTTTTGAGGTCGTTGCGTGAAGTTCTAGGATTAAACTGTAAGTATATGAAAAAAGTCAATGATTATCATCTTTACTATCTTTGAAACTGGACCACAATATGTTTAACGCTAATTGTAGAATATAGAACATTCGTTGTCTCTGTGACCACATCAGGTGAATATATCTTTTCTATGGCATAATATTATACTCTAACAATTCGTCGTTACAATCGGTAAAAGAAAATTATCGATCGTTCGTTTTTTTTTGCCACTTCTTGAAGTTATTCTGAAATTTGAGAAAGCGTAGGTATTCAAGTTTAGAGTTAGTGTAGATATGAATCAAACTAAGTTAGGATTGAAAAAGACAAACGAATCAATTCAAAATGGAAAGACTCAACTCTGATCGATCTACAGTCGCAAGAGTGGAGTGGCTCCAAGCTGTGACGAAATAGATCAAATTGAAATTAAGAACCTCCATTCAGACCAATTCACGATGGACAAACTAAATACAAGTTCAAGGAACTCGAATTCGGTCAATTTAGAATTGGTAGAAACTGGTTCTATATATCCAAGATCAAAAGACACAAACTGAATTAATTCAGGGCCGAAGGACGCAAATTGGATCAACCTAAGACCAAGAAACTGGAAACGAAGGCAATCAAGATCGAGAGATCCGAATCGCATTCGTCCGAGATAAGAAGACTCGATCTATCCAAGACCGAAATATATGTTTCGGACGAACTCGTGATTGACAGACTCGATTAAGTGGCATCTAAGATCAAGAGACTTGAATTCAATCTATCCACGACCGACAGACTTGAATTGAATACATCTACGATTGACGGACTTGAATCGAATCCATCTAGGATTGAAAGACTTGATTCGAATCCATCTAGGATCAGCAGACTTGATTCGAATCCATCTAGGATCAGCAGACTTGATTCGAATCCATCTAAGATCGGAGGACTTGATTCGAATCCATCTAGGATCAGCCGACTTGATTCGAATCTATCTAAGATCGGAGGACTTGAATCGAATCCATCTAGGATTGGAAGACTTGATTCGAACCCATCTATGATTGACGAACTTGATTCGAATCCATCTAGGATCAGCAGACTTGATTCGAATCTATCTAAGATCGGAGGACTTGGTTCGAATCCATCTAGGATCGACAGACTTTATCCGAATCCATCTAGGATCGGAGGACTTGAATCGAATCCATCTAGGATTGGAAGACTTGATTCGAACCCATCTAGAATCGGAATACTTGAATGGAACTGCCCCAGAACCGCAGAATGCGTCTCGAACCCATTCAGAATCACTGACCACATGCGAAGAATTACGTCGAAGAGTCTCCAGGCTTAAATCCTTAAGTCCAAGGGTACTCTAATTGGATTCCTTGAGTTCAAGAGTTCTTTGCCTTCAATACTTGTGGTCAGGAGTCACCTAACATGTGTCCCTGAATTCGAAGTACTATAACTCGGTGTCGAGAGTTTTCAAGCTTCACTTTTGTTTTTTTTGATTGGAAGTTCATGGGCTTGGAATACTTGGTCCAATGGTCTTCTGACTTAGACCCATTTGTTACTATTATCAACATTGTTTGTGCCTTCATATTATTTGAACATATTTTACTAAGAATACATTTTATTTTAAAACGGCGCATGTGTCATCCTAATGTTGCTGAGAGTAGGTTGACAATTGAAACATTCTGTGCTGCGTATGTCACCGTTCAATCATCGACATATTCCTTCAAGCCCTCTGACATATAGTAGCTATTCGGGACAGCAGCGACAATGTAATGTACAAGAAACAATACTAAAATAGAATCATGTTACCGTACGTCTCAATGATGACGCAGTGTGCAGACCTGTTTTGTTTCCGTGTCTTAAAACACATTCAGTTTATTATTTAATCGACATATTGAACGATGAGTAACTTTTATTAACAGAGTAAAACATAAATAGCTATGAATGTGGTTTGAGTTTTTAACATTTTTTTACTATGAGCATGTAATGATTATATGAAAATATTACAATAACTGTACGAGATCGGATGAATGCAACATTCTGTAGATTTTACGCACACTTTGTAGATTTATTTAAATTATATATAGGGTCGTTACAAATGTGTCAATATTAGGATATAGTTCCTTAAGAGTAGTATATGCACTGTTCAAAGTAATTAGATGATCAGGTAAATAAATTAATTATACTTTGATGTAGTACCAACTACTTCAAATTCATCAAATGATTGAAAACGGTACGAATATAAAGTGTGGTACTTCGTTCCTTTGTAATCATTGCTGTATTTTTTTAGATAATTCAGACATACCTATCTACTAAACATTTTGTGTTTAATACTTTAAAGTTCATGCTATCCTATACTGTCAAATATTTTTTCTTTCGTTCGAATGTGTTTTTTGGTAACACCTTCTAGCAATCGACCCAGTTTAATATGCTCGATATCGTTATGCGAAATTTCTTCTGATACAACAATCATTTCCAATTATAACTTAATTATTAATATGAGATACTTAAAAATAGCCGAGTGAATTCGCAGTGCATTTCCATTAAAACTTCGTTTAATTGATGCAACAGTATACGACGGACCGTTCATTAGTGGAAAGCTGGAACTGTATTTCTAGTTTAAATTCTATTATATAATATTAAATTTGAATTTCCCGTTAATACGAATCCAGTGTTCCTGCTTTGTATGGAATGCACAAATCGGAAATACCTCAAAGGCATCTTTAATATCTCTTTTCAAAACTGTATTTCGTGATCACATTTTGCATTCCGTTACGTGTGATTCCTTGTTGAATGTGTAAGTACGTGAAAAGTTCATGCAGTGATCATATTAACCCGTTTGATTGAATACTTCTTTGCCAGAAGTAGTGTTAGCGTATTAACACACGTCGACGAACTCTAATTAACGCATTGCGTATCGATCGTGACCTATTTCATTTTAGTGTTTTTTTGACTTGTACATTGATGATTGGCTAAAGTAAATTAATTCACGTTTGTATGTAATTAAATTGCTGTATAAACCAAACACATAGTTTGTGAAGCAAATATTGAAGGAAATGCCTGTTAGAAGGCAATAACACGG